TGAACAAATGGTGGCTGCTAGCGCTACCAAGGCCATTTTTGTTTTGTGGATGGATTCATGAAGCCAACTAAATACCCTCTGTTAACGATAACGTACCGTTTCCGCAATGATGCAATATTCAAAGGTGGTCCAGGCTGCATGGAATACATAAAGTGCAGCACTGCATCCTGAAAATAAACTATTTCGAAAGTACTCGTTTATGTCTGCGCAAGCTCAACGACTAGGAGCCTTAACCCTTCTTTTGATCCCTATAGGAATTATCAACAAATGCCTCCATGATTGGGCAATCGTGGCCTAACCAGACGTCTTTCCTTTGAACTCCCCCACTACTGGTTTCATTAAGGCATACAAGCTCTTCCACTCCTCTCATTTCCTACTTCCCGTGAACAGCCATACTTCAGCAGAAATTCACCACTCTCAGGATGGAATGCTGTCAGCATTTCAACCTTTTCAAGGAGTAAGTCTCAGCTGAAATTGACGTGACGTACTCTCCCAACAGTACCACTTGTTACTAATATCTCAGCTGTGTATAAAAACAAAAGCTCACCTGGATCCAGGTAGGCATAAGGCTGAGCGGTATGAAGCAGAATATTGCGTCCCATCCCGGTGTGTACCTACAATGTTCGGGAAACTTGAGGAAGAAGCTATTCATCAAAATAACACATATGATGTAAAAACCGCACTCTGACTTTATGAAGACTTGCAATTTTGCCCTATGTGCAGTTCAACTTTTCAAGCACTTTTCAGCAGTTTTGTGATCGCACCGCCTTCGCGAAGCCACAGCACGGTCAGACATAACCGAAAATATCGAATGTACCTCAGCCTTGGCCAGTAGCCAAACAAAGCATGGGTGTAGCTATCGACGACCCAATCAAGATTCGGATTGGCTACCAGGTTTACTCCAGTTTGCCACGCGGTTTTGACTGCAACAGCAAAGGTTTAGCTCGCTCAGTATCTCGTGCGAGTTCTCTTTAATGAAGGAATAATCGACTTCACTGCTCATTACTTTGCTGAGTCACTTTAAGATTCACGCTGATCCTATGGGCGGAGTCAGTGAACAGTTGCGCCTTCCTCAGTTTTGTGCTATGCCTCCGAACAAGTCTAGCAACAAGAGATACACCAATGAGGAAGACGTAATGGCTAACAGTCCCCGCCCACACAATCAGTATGGACTTCGAGTTTGAGCAGTATCTCAACGCTGGAAATTTAGAAGGAAGCTAGCAATGGTGGAAAGAAATATTCCGTTAAGTTGTCTTTTTGTAACTCACAGTTTTCCTTGAATTCCTCTCCGTACTCGTCCTTTACCGCTACTGGTAGCTTTTCCCAGATCTGAAAACATAACTGATCACTCTTACAGAGAAAGCCTTGCGCTGCCTCTCTGCCTCCTTTATAGAACCACATAGACTTCTCTAGAAATCATGCAGTGTAACGGTCACCCAGGAAAATTCCCGCAAAATGAGACCCCCCCCCCCTTCAAAAGTTCCTCCTCTGGTGCGACCCGCCCTAAACATCCCCCATAGCTCCTTTGAGACTGGAAAAAGTCGAGAAAGTCAACAACCGAAAATACTGTTTCAAAGAGTACATACGGTCCCGCATCCTTCCAGTGACCAAATACGACCCTCGCCGGAGGTCTTCAACGTGCGAACTTGTCCCCACCGCCGTGGCGTGCCAGGGGCTGGTAGGGTTTGGGCACAATGCCACAGGAGCTACTGGAGTAAAGGCGTTCAAGTTAACTTAAAACTCACTTTGTTCACTCTCGCATGCTGAGCACCTTCACTCAGCAATTCCGTTTTGAATGCACCAGGTTCAAGAATGTGAACGGATACTCCAAAAGGTATCATTTCAAGCCGAAGGCAATCCATATACGCTTCAACAGCGAATTTCGCTGTGACATAAGGACCAACATAGAGTCCATGAAGACGACCGGCCGTTGAGCCCATCGTCACAACTCGGCCCTAAAGTAATCTATGAGAAGTTTTTTATCACACTCATTTTTTCAGCAGAATAAGAGGCGCCCGAACCTTGCTTCCCTTGATAAGAGGTAGAAAACTGTGGCAGACGCGTACTGAGCCCAGAGTGTTCACATTCAGTGATGCCAAGTATTCGTTCGTGGAACACCAATCGTCAGGACCAAAAATTGTGAATACTCCAGCATTGTTGACAAGTCCATGGAGTTGAGCTCTCTGTAAATTTTACTAAAATTGCTTAAAACTAGCTGTACAGATACCTCCATAAGCCTTAAGAGATATTTTCAATAGCCGAGCTCTGCTTAAAGCCCTAAAGGCATAAGGCATAACAATTTGGTACCCGGTCTAAAATAGTAGCAAGGTTGCTGTTTAGCGAGAAAATGGCGAAAAGAGAAGTGAAGCGGTCAAGTACCTGCAAAAACCTTTGTTCTACACGACTCAGGAAGCAATTTGGACGAGTTTCCCGTTGGCATCTTGCCAATAACCGCTACGGTAGATACGGCTGCATGTATGTACCCATATATCCATGCAGCACCACAGCCGCTTCATACCCTTCGCTTCATATGTACTGCGCAAATGAAGCGATACGATCATCAGCACTGGGGGATATCTGTGGGCAAGAGAGCGCGGTGGGCGTGCGGGTCGCCTATGAGGGTACGTCCCTTGGAAAAGGCGCCAGGCAGCGTTTGCTGAGGGGCGCTAAACCCGGTCCTACAGGCGTATCTATCCCACATGTCGTAGGGATTTATCGCGCCACTTGCTTTCAAGGGACAGTCCACATTTATCATAGCAGTGAAGAAATACTGCGTCCTCCTTGTGGTTGTGTCCCTGATATCAGGACGCAAATAGAAGTGAGCCGTCAAAGTCTGCAAAAATCAACGAAAAAAGATCAGTCGGAGCCGGGAGCTTCAATTTTTCGTAACGCCTGCTTACTCGCTACCTTTTGCTGAGTGGAAATACGACCAGTAATAAGTTTTTGCGGAATTTTCGACTACTTAAGACTATTCTCTTGCAACGAACCTGAACATTAAGAATACTTTCAACCTCAGCTTTGGCTTTTATAACACTCTCATCGCTGGTGACATCGATCAGAACAGTGTGCAACTGACCGTCACCGTTGATTTGGTGGCCACATTTGATCAGATCCTCCCGACCCTGAAAAAAATTTTTTTTGCTCGCAGAAGTAAGTATTTAGTCTGATAACTTCCTATCTATAGAATCGATTGTCTTCTTCGGAAAATTACAGTAAATAAATAGCAAGCGAGTCCATAAAAACCCATTTATCCCTTTTTCACTAGGGATACTGGTGGTAGAAGCGCAGTTATTGTAGTCTTGTGGTCTGTACTCGGAATCTTCGCGAGCGGTCCATGACATAGCGGAAAAACTGTACCAACTGCCTTCAACGCAGTAGCTATCGCGCGTGAACGCACACGTGATGAATTACATTTACAGTCGGTTACAAATGTGCTATTACTGCCCTATAATCACTCAAAGTTGCGAGAAACTACGGCGAAATGGAAATGAGAACCTGTGGACTCTGGAAAACACCATGAACTTCTGAATCCCGGCCACAGGCTAGTGAGAAAAACAACTGTCATAATGATGAGAAACAGAGGGACAACTTTGATTTAATAACGGCTGGGCTGGGGATCCTCAGCAGGGGGTCGTTCATGGACGTTGAAGGGAAGGAGGGGGGGGGGCATTCTGCACTTTTGCTACTTCAAATCGACGTGTCGACCCATCTAGAGAGATATTTCGGA